TTTTTTGTTATTTATTTACTATTTAAATCTTACCTACATTATAAGAATGCTTTAATATGGTTGCCCAAATATTTTGTTTCTTAAAATAGCAATGAAGCAATAATAATGCGTTTTGGCATTACAGAAGCTAATTATCTTCAATTCATTAGTATAAAGTATTCAGATAACTAAATAAACAAAAATGTAAAATTCAATTCATGATTTATCGGATTAAAGAGTAACTCTTAATTTAAATAAATAAACATTTACATTTGTATTTTAAAGAGTAATTCGTAACTTTATTTTTAAAATTTACAAAAAATATAAATTATTGTAATTATTGTAAAATAAAATAAAATAAAATATCGGATTGTACTTCAAAAATAATTTAGTAAAACTAATTTCAAACCGTTAGTTTTACCAAATTTTTTTTACAACTTATTAATACTATTTGCTAATCAAAACAGCTAATACTATTATAAATAAGAAAAAAAAAATTATAGACGTGCAGAATCCAGGGAAAATATTGCATATTTTCACTGAGATCAAAATTATTGTATTTGTAAAGATAAAAATAAATGCAAAACGAGTTGCTCCGAAACTCAAAAGTCGAGCAACAAAAATACAAATTATCATTATCCATATACCCTTTTCTCTAAGCATAAGATATCCAGCTGCTCATTTTATCTGAACTCCAATTCTTCCACATTCTCAAAAACAAATGTTCATCATTTTCTCTAACAAAAAATTTCACACTATTTCTACGGTAGGACACGAAAAACCCTGTTTGACAAGAACTTTGTTCGAGATCCAACCGAGACGAGGCTGCCACTCTTTTTCCAGTAAGTCCATTCTTCGGGTGATTGGCCAGCAAAACAAAACCCAAAAAGCATGTCCGTAAATCACATTAATCGTCCAAATAATAATAAGATCCAGCGGCCTTCTGCTCTCGGTCCTTGGTTGACTCTAGTTTGTTGATTCGAGGGCGATAATTTGTTGGGTCCCTTCTAAATGTAATATCCAGATGCTACACACAAAAATTGAAATGCATTAATTTGCAATGGCACTAATGTAAGAAAATCAGGGAATTGGGTTTCAGGGTCACCAGAAAATTTATATGAAAAAATAAAAAATCGGATGGAAGAGGCTTTACGGATAAGAACAGGTTCATCCCAGTCAAAAGTGATTGAGGTGGATTGGCAGTACAATCCACGGATGGCTTCCCTTCGTAAACGATTACCCTATCAGCAAGGTATGTGGCCATAATGAAGTCGTGCTCGACAACGAATGCGGTCTTTTTGGCGTGAAGTATGAACCTCTTTATGACTTTTGAAGCAACAATACGCTGCTCTGAGTCGAGATAGGCACTTGGTTCGTCTATTAAATAAATGTCAGCCGGCTGCAAGAATACAAAACAAAAATAAATAAAAACACAAACCGACAGAGCAGAAATTAAGAAATATCCAGAATACACACACATACAAATACATAGGAAATAATGCAAACACATGTATGAACTTTAGTCCATTTACAGTCTAAATAATAAATCCATCAGATTTCAGAAATAAACAACCGAATTAGCCAAAGCCGTATGACTCAATTTACAGTGTTTCTAAAGATGATTATATCTCCACAAATGAAACTTTTACAAGAGGTTATGACTAAGGCCAATGCATATTCAACTGGGCACTTAAAACAAGAGTCTTGCTGGATCATAAGCAAGTCCTATGTTTCAATTATCAAAACGGATAACAAAGGAGATTAAGATATCATTTCTGGACAATAAAATTCATATTCCGCTGACAATGCTCAGACAAGAAAATCAAACCATTTTCTAGCATGAATCAAATAGATGGAATCTTAAAAGTTTAAAATATGATCCAAATTTTGCAGCTCTGGCATTCAAAGATTCATCTTAAATATTAATAAAAATTCACCAAATTGATGAATCAACTAAAAATTCTGCCTCGGATTAACCCAACTCATCAGCCAGTTGATGTACCCAACTCTGCGCCCCGTGCCTATTGTGGTCGAGTAGGGGATATAACAGAAGCATATAATAAGCCCACAATAAATAAAATTATTATTCAGCAACAATATCACCAAGAAAATATTTACAGAAACTACGTGGAAGAGAAGTAAACCTTTCCAAGACAAAGAGTAAGGGCAACTCTTTGCAATTCTCCACCAGAGAGATTCACAACCTCTTGATCCATTAGTTGCTCAATTAAGAGAGGCTTCATCACATCTGATACAAACTGAGGATGCATATACGAATCACGGATTTTCTGATGTAAAAGCATTCTAACAGTTGACTGGAACTTAGGACTGATTTTCTGTGGCTTGTAAGAGACATTGAATTCCGGTATTTCAACATCAGATCCTTCCACTAAATCAGGCTTCAAAAGACCAGCCTATCATTCAATGACGCCAACTTTAGCTTAAATAACAAACTGAACTTCAATTAAAAAAAATAGTAAATATAATATACCAGCATCCGTATAAAGGTCGTCTTTCCCGTCCCATTTTCACCAAGCATCACAACAATTTGTGAATCAGTAAATTCACCCTCCATGACCTTAAGCTTGAAATTTCCTTGAGTTTTAGTCATTGTAGGGTACCTATACCTTGCATACGTCTCAATTTCCTCAGCACTTTCCTGCGGTGTCTCCGCAACCTGGTAGGACAAGCCTATTAGTCACAAGACTCGCAACAGTCAACTAATCACAACTAAAATCCCTTACGATATAGATAGAAATATGATTCTACCTTAAAAGTTAGAGATTCATCTCGAAATCGTAAATTCTCGGTTGGCACAAATCCTTCCAGAAATATATTAATTCCTTCCCTGACCGAGAATGGAAGGGTTACCACCCCGTATACACCAGGTTTCCCATAAAGGCAGCAGATGAAGTCCGATAAATAATCGAGCACACTAAGATCATGCTCCACAACGATCACAAAGCTGGAAAAGAAAATACAATAACCAAGTAAGGCCTCACTAAAGAGATGGAATTTCAAAAGCTAACAAAAGTTGACGGGAAACACCTATTAGGCCTAAGTAAAGATCTGATGACTTTGGCAGCTTTGAGCCTCTGTTTCACATCAAGATAGCTCGAAGGCTCATCAAACATAAATATCTCAGCATTCTGTATGGCAACAACAGCTATTGCAAATCTCTGAAGTTCCCCACCGGATAAATCTCCCACATTGCGGTCCATAACCTGACTCAACTCAAGATCAATACCAAGTTCTTCTTTCATGTCTCTCTCATCTTTCTGCGAGAGAACTTGCCCAACATTACCCTGCACAGCTTTCGGGATGTGGTCGACATACTGGGGCTTGATAATTGCCTGAAAAAATGCACTGCGATAAGTTTGTAGCATAATAATTAACCAAAATACTAAATCGTCTAAACAATAATAGGCAAGCAAATAGAAAAGTCGCATATAAGGTTGGATGGAGCAACGGTAACGAAATTGCATGTAATCAAGTTCAATGTTTTTAAAACAATGATACCAGTTATTTTAGACGAAAGTATATCAATAATTGTGCCAAAAAAAGGAACTAAATAATACAACACTATCCATCAATAAGCCAACTTGTGCTCAGGAAGTTCATTTCTCAAATAATTAGTCAGACACATATACTTGATCAGATATATTATCATGGATTTATTAATCGAATTGGCCCCAAAAATGAGAAAAAACCAAGACCAATGGCAATGGAAACAATTTAAACGAACACAGTTTTCAAGCCATATTGATTAGATTTATTACTAAATGAGACACTACTTCATTCATGGCACACATGAAAATTATCATTTAAATTTCAGGCTAGTGTACTTCATCAAAGACCGAAAATGAGGGTACATGTCACAGCGAAATCTTTAATCAAAATTTACCTTTAGATTATCTTCAAGGATACGAGTAAAGTAGTTTTGCAGCTCAGATCCTCTAAAATAGGTCAGAATTTCCTGCCAATCGGGAGGGTTCTGCAAGGCAAATTTATTCAGAAATTTGAGCAATAATTAAAGTAATATATTTAAAGGTGGCTAAATGAAATTACTGTAAAGCGGCCCAAATTAGGTTTCAGTTTCCCAGCCAAAACTTTAAGAGCAGTAGATTTCCCAATGCCATTAGTTCCAACCAAGCCAAGAACTTGACCAGGCCTTGGGACTGGTAATCTATAAAAAGAGCAAATAATAAACCAATAAAAGAACAACTAAGAACCAAAATATAAATTTAATACAAGAGAAGGCTCCAATACCTATGTAATTTGAAGGTGTTAGGACCATAACGATGGGTGGTATCCTTATCCAGGTCTTTTGGTAGATTGATAATCTGGATGGCCTCAAATGGGCATTTCTAGAGAAACATGCAAAACAATGGCGAGGTCAGGCGAAAATATGTTAAACATTAGGAAACAAAAGATTGCACTTCTTGTCATATTGAACAAACCTTCACACAAATACCACATCCGATACACAATTCCTCTGAGATGAAAGCAATCTTAGCTGCAGAAGTGACCTCAATGCAGAGTTTACCTAAAGATAAAGAAATTTGAATAATAACTCTGTATGTTCATGGGAAAATATCAAATTCAAAACCAGTAGTACCGGCTTTAACCTAAAGCAATATACCAGTAGTACCGGCTTTAACCTAAAGCAATATACCATAATTCATAGATAAGAACCGAAACATATTTTGAGAAGCCACAACGAAAGAATTGGACAGCTAAAAAATATAGCCACAGGTTAAATCATGAAACAAGGATCTCACACTGTAGTGAAAGCATCAAGAAATCAAGATAAATCAATACATTCTAATTCAAAGTCCCAGAAGTAATGAAGAAAGTTGGGATTGACATGGATAGAGCAATATGTTTCTCTGAGTTATGCAGAATCACTCAAGTTATCATGTCTCTTGATTGAAGCTTTTACTGTATTCATAAAACAGTTACATAATGCCATTATAACAGCAGAACCAGGATCCATTTCCGATCATAAATCCGAAAAAAAAATCGTCTTTATACAGGATAAAAAATCCACAAAAAATAGGGAAACATGCCTGTTTTGACGACAGGGCAACTTTTTTTGCACTCCTGACGGCATTTCTTGGGCTTGCACTTATCGGAACTCACAATAGCGATACGCGTCAACCTCTGATCCGACATCTCTCTCAATTGAACTGATTATCACCGAAAATAAGGTAATTCAAACCAGAATCAAATCTTAAGCCCTAACCTAAACATATTTTACAGAAATAAGTAAATAAACAAACATAAATAGAGAAAGAGGGAAGAAGCGGCACCTGCGGGTTGAGAGGGAGAGAGAGAGAGAGGTGGTGGTGGTGGTGATATAACGGAAGAAAGACGCGACGGTGAAAAACAACTCTGCAAGTGCTAGCTAGGGTTCCAACTGGAGAATAAATTAGAGCAAAGCTACTACTTTCCCCTTTTCTTTTCTTTCTTTTCCTTTTCTTTTTATTTTTTAATTGGAATAATGTTCCCCTACCCACGGTGGACACATGTTAGTATGTGCACACATGTTAATATGTCCACCAATGTGTGCATGTCATATAATCAGTGAACATATTAATATGTGTCCATAGTAGGTAGGTGAACATTATTGTTTTTAATAGCTTTGCACTTTTTTGTTATATAAACTAGTTCGGTAATGTTTGGTAGTTTGGGTATAATTTTTTTTTTATTATTTTTATTGGATACTTTTGGTTTAGTTTGGTTAGTTTTAAAAATTTGATATGATTCATTATTGTTTAAATTTTGTGTTTATATTAAAATAATATTTTAAAAAAATAATTCAAGTTTCTTTTATATATAAATATGAAGGAGATGATATGGTGTGGTGATTAGTCAAAATTATGTAATGTAATGTGTAATAATGATTGATTGATATTATTTAATTATAATATTGAGAATAGTGAGATTTGGGTTAATGTTGAGTTGGATTTGAGTTAATAAAATGATTGGTTAAAAATGATTTGATTGCTTTTGGATATCTTGTATCCAAGCATCCTCTACGTAGTTCGTGGGATGCACAGATAAATAATATTAAATAATAATTATAAAATTAATGTTTGGGCAAACAATATGAAGTAACAATTATAAATTAAAGATTTTGGGTTAACATTTCTTGTAAACAATATGAAACTAGTATCGATGCAAATATATTTTTATTTGTTATATGTGTGTTTGTAGTATTTAAAATTATAAGTTAAATGAACATATCACATTTTATAATTTATCATTAGTAAAAATAAATGATATAGATGCAATTCTCTCATTTGAGAGCAATTCTCTCATTTGAGAGCATAGGTTCCCTTTTCTGAGTGCCTTAGTTCTCATTGACATGTGTTTATCCCATCGATATGTTTATCGTGATGTTTTTCGGTGTGCTTTCGAGTTTCCTATTGATTGAATCTTAAGTGTTTCTAAGTGGATATAGGGTTCCGCTTAGGGATCTCTTTTGAAGTTTTGGGGGGTAGTAGAAGGAGCAACAATTTTTCGTAGTTCGCTAGCAATGTAGGAGAAATTAAGGAGAAGTCTGAAGAATATAGTTATTTCTAAATTCGAAGCGAAGGTGGTTGAGCTAGTTGAAGAAGATGTTCGGGCAAGTAGCGAGGAATACAACCGAAGTCTGTTGCGGAAAGTTCTGGGGGATAGGAAAGTGAGCTTACTAGAAATTAGCCGTGCTATGGGGAGTATATGGAAAATTGGAGCTTCCGCTAGAAGTTAGAGAAATTGGTCACAATTTCTTTTAATTCATATTTGACAGTGAGGAGGATAAGAAGAAAGTATTCTCTTGGACAAGTTGGCCTTTTGAAAACCAATATCTAGTGCTTTGTGAATAAGAGGATCTCAGATCACAACCAGTGCTTCAACTAAATTAATTTGTGGGTTCAGGTGCACAACATCCCTCTTCATTGGCTCAGTGCAGAGAGGTATGAAGATAAGCCAAATCTTAAACAAAGTTAAGAATTTCATGGTGATCATAGCTGAGGGTAATACAAGAAGCTACATCAGAATTCTGGTTTCTCTAGATATGTCTGAACTGCTGACTCGATTTTCTTAGACTCTATAATAATCAAATTGAAGCTCAATTTTGTTATGAGAAATTGGTGAATATTTGATTTTACTGTAGGAAAATAGGCCACCTGGAAAGAAACTGTGGCAAAAGAAGTGAGGATATAGAAACTGGAAACCTACATGAAAGCCAATATAAAGAATGACTCAAAGCAAGTGATGCTTTTTATAGATCAAGGCAAAACAACTCTCATACTTCTGAATCAAACACATCAGGCTCTAATCAATCTAAGCAGACTCAAATGCCTTCTTCATCTATAAAAGATAACTTTGAGGCTCAATGTCCAAGTCTTGAGGTGGAAAATCTAAGGGCTTTGGTAAGTTTGGAGTTGGTCTCACGTAAAGTTGATGGAGGGAGAGATCCAGGTCAAGTTATTTCTAGCAACTTTCTTCTTCCAAAGCGACAACACCTTAGTCTCTGGCTATGCTAAATCAAGAGGACCAATGAGTTCCTGAGTAAATGAGAAACTTCAGTCCAATGGAGGTTGAAATTGTTGATCCAACTAAAGACCCAAAGCTTCATCCTAATGGAGACAAATCAAAGTAGAAAGCCATTTGAATCGGTAAGAGTAGAAAAAGAGCTCCAAAAGCTGAGGGGAGACTTTTAAGGAAACAAGGTGTTCTGATTGGATTTTGTGAAGGAACTAAGTTAAAGAGAAGTAGGCCTTCAAATTCTCATGAAGAGGAGAAGGAGGAGCTAACTGAGCATTCCCAAAGAAATAGTAAGAAAGTTATACTGACAGAGAAGCATACGGTGATAGCCAACCTTAACTGGCCCCACAGTGATCAATGAAGACAATATTGTAGAGGTCTCGATGGGCCCTCTGTATAAAGCATAGGGTCTTTAAAGATAAAAATAATAGCAATAAAAATAAATAAGAAGTTGTAGCACATGCTCACTTCATTTTATGTAATCAAATGGACATATCAATACAATGAACAACAATTGTTTGGGTTTCCACTAAGGCACAAATGTGGAACTTGACTTGTGGAGGAAATAGCCAAATTTAGTTTACGGAAGTGTGTAGTAGAATAACAATGGTCAATTTTGTTTGGGGCGCCATTAAACAACCCCTCTTAATTGTTAGTTCTAGTAAAATTGCTTCACACACACACACACACACACACACACATACACACACACACACATACACACACACACAAACATATAAACACAGTAGAGAAAGAGGCAAATACCAAGTAAACAATAATAACTCAAAAATTACCGCATTAAGATGACGACTCCCCTGAATTAGGGAAATATAGTGGTGTTATCATCCGACTCGGTAAAGCACAATTAAGGGTCTTGAACAGAATCTTAAGCAAATTTAAACCTCAAAACTGACGTGACCCGAAGTCACCCCATCTCGCACGACGAACCGGTATAGCCACAAAAGACCGAAGTGACCATTATCCGCCGAGGTCATTCCAAACCGAGGTCAACACGAACCGAGGTCGTCACCTCCTAAGCAGGTGACAAGGCGCCTACACGCCCCTCTCACGATCTACGAGATCTGTTATCATTCATGTGGGGCCCCCCTAAACCTGTCGTCCATCAAAAAGTAACTTTATGGAAAAAACAAAGCACGGATCCCGATACACGTACCAAAAAAGTTACTATAAATAGTGAACTGATACTACTTGTAAGGGATTCGAATCCTTCTTCCCAAACCGAACTCGTTTATAGTGAAACACGAAACAGCTCTCAGAAGCTTTTCACCTCGGTTCACCTCGGACCGAGGACAGTGTTGCATATTTTATCCATATTTTACGTTCGAATCATTCAAAATCATTAAATAAATACTGAATTAGATCGTTGTTAAGAATCGCATAACAACAGTTCGGCGCTAGAGGAAGGGCTTCATAAGTGATTTGAGGTTAATCTCCGATTCTTGTTTAGTGATCCACATCAGTCATATCAATCATGTCTCATTCAGATCATCGTGGTCATACGTCGCGAGATGGCCACAGTCGTAGCGCTGCTCAATCCGCCAGACGACAAGTAGCAGCCCCCAATATACCAGATTACACTGTTCTGTTCCAAAATCCAGAGTTTGCACATGGGTTCGCCGCCCTGATGGCTCAAACAATCCCTGGAACATCAACGACTGCACCAGGACAATCCATTATCCCCACAACCCCTGCTAATCCACAGATTCCACCAGTGCGACAAGACGGTGGCAAAACTACTTCTCACGCCACGTCTCAACCTCGCAGCCGCACCCAGAACAAACTACACATCACGCTGACATTGGACGCAATCCCCTCGTACTTCCTCATGAAGAAACCGCCGAAAGTCAGTCTGGACATTCACGGCGGTCACCGCCTCATGCGCGACACCTAATCCCCTCTAATCCAGCGTAAACTGACCTTCGTCAGCATATTGAGAGAAATCGAGCTCGCCAAGAATCGTCTGAACTCGAAACATTGCGACGAAGAATCGTCGAGCTGGAAAGTCGGCAAAGGATGCCCGAAGACCCCCCTCGGCGGACCTCGACCTCGACACAAGTATATTTGGAAGCCGACTCCCCTCTCACACCAGAGCTCACTTCGGAACCTGTACCCGGAAAAGTTAAAGTTCCTCAAATTGGGTTATACGATGGGACTTCGGACCCCGACTCACACCTCGGTCACTATACTTCGTGGATGGATCTGCATGGGGCCTGAGACGCACTTCGGTGTCGCATGTTTTCCCTTACGTTGGGACCTCGGGCTCAAAAATGGTACCATTCTCTTCCTCCTCATTCTATTTGGAAGTGGCAACAGTTGAGGTCGGCTTTCCGATCTCATTTCATCGGGGCCCAAGTGTGTTTAATTCCGAAAGAATCCCTTGCAAACGTAACTCAAAAAGATTATGAAAGCGTCAAAGACTACATCGCTCGATTTAACGACCGAGTTCAGAATATGGAGCCGTGTCATCCTGAAACCTTGCTTATTATGGCTATCGGCGGGCTGAAACCGAACTCGATTTTTCGCTGGACGTTGTGTCAGAATAAGCCAAACACCTTCCAGGAATTTCTTGCCTGAGCTCAACAGCACATTATTACCGAGGAAGCTATGTCGGTCCCTGA